CTCCCTATCTCCCTCTCTCTCTCTCTCTCTCTCTCTCTGTCTCTCTGTCCTCCCCCCTCTCTCCTCTGCGTAACTCTGACTTTCAAATAAAATAAATACATCTTTAAAAAAATATTAGCATAGCAAACTAAGCTGTTCGTCTTGGCCTAGCCTGTCCTTCTAAACGTGAGCCCTCCAGCTTTCCCGCATGGTCTCCTGTACGCTCTCTGCACTGAATGAACTCTTCTCTGCATTAGTACTGATGGTTCCATCTAAAATACCCTCCTGTGACAATTCTGTGTCTAACACTTCTTCAGATTGCAAAACTTAATTCCAGTGACACCTTCGAGAAAACTGTGCCTTCAGCTGCACTCATCTCAGGTCAAATACCCCTTTCCTGGACAACCAACAACAAAAAAAAACACTTTATATAGTGCGTGTGTTAAAAGACATCATGGTTTGTTTTGTTAAGATTTATTTCTTTGAAAGACTGATTTGCTCCCAAGATGGCTGCAACAGCCAGATCTGGACCAGGCTGAAACCAGGAGCCAATAACTCTTGGGTCCCAGGCCAGCTTCTGCTGCCTTCCCAGGCATATTAGCTGGCAGCTGAATCAGAAGCAGAGCTAGGACTTGTACAGGCATTCTGTTATGGGATGCAGGCATGAGCTTAACCTACTCTGCCACAGCCCTGGCCCCATGTGTTTTGTTTGTTTGTTTTGTTTTTTTATTTGAGAGGCATAGAGAGACACACAGAGTTCCTATCTGCTAGTTTGCTCCCCAGATGCCTGCAAAGGCTAGGGCCAGATCTGGGGGCTATTTCCCATGTGGGAGGTAGAAACCCAGTCCCTTGAACCATCAGACTACCCTGTAGGGTCTGCATTAGCAGGAAGCTGAAGTTAGGAGCTGGAACCAGGTATTAAATTTAGGTACTCTGGACATAGGGCATCTGAACCAGTTTTTTTTTTTTTTTAAAGATTTATTTATTTGAAAGTCAGAGTTACACAGAGAGAGAAGGAAAGGCAGAAAGGCAGAGATATAGAGAGGTCTTCCATCCACTGGTTCACTCCTCAATTGGCCACAACGGCCGGAGCTGTGCCAGTCCGAAGCCAGGAGCCAGGAGCTTTTTCCAGGTCTCCCATGTAGGTGCAGTGGCTCAAGGACTTGGGCCATCTTCTACTGCTTCCCAGGCCATAGCAGAGAGCTGGATTGGAAGTGGTACAGCCGAGACTCAAACTGGTGCCCACATGGGATGCTGGCACTGCAGGCCAGGGCTTTAACCAGCTACACCACAGCTCCGGCCCCCTCCTGTGATTCTTAAAATTCTGAACCAAAGTCTGTTTCCACCATCCTTCCTTTGCTTGCCTTCTGGTTTCCTTTTTTTTTTTTTTTTTTGACAGACAGAGTGGACAGTGAGAGAGAGAGAGACAGAGAGAAAGGTCTTCCTTTTCCGTTGGTTCACCCTCCAATGGCCGCCGTGGCTGGTGTGCTGTGGCCAGCGCGCCGCGCTTATCCGATGGCAGGAGCCAGGTACTTCTGGTCTCCCATGGGGTGCAGGGCCCAAGCACTTGGACCATCCTCCACTGCACTCCCTGGCCACAGCAGAGAGCTGGCCTGGAAGAGGGGCAACTGGGACAGAATCCGGCGCCCCGACTGGGACTAGAACCCGGTGTGCTGGTGCTGCAAGGCGGAGGATTAGCCTAGTGAGCCGCGGCGCTGGCTTTTTTTTTTTTTTTTTTTTTTTGACAGGCAGAGTGGACAGTGAGAGAGAGAGTTCTGGTTTCTATGGCTTGTTTGTTAGCCCCTCATCATCTATATACAAGGAAAAATAAGGTTAAAATTCAGAGTGAAGGAGCCGGTGTTGTGGTGTGGCTTGTTAAGCCACCTCTTTTGATGCCAGAATCCCATATGGGCTCTGGTTCAAGTCCTGGCTGCGCCACATCTGATCCAGCTCCCTGCTAATGTGCCTGGGAAAGAAGTGGAAGATGGCCCAAGACCCAGATAAAACTCCTGGCTTTGGCCTGGCCCAGCCCCTGGCTATTGCTGTCATTTGGTGAATGAACTAGCTAATGGGCTATCTCTCCCCCTCTTTCTCCATTTCTCCCTCCCTCTCCCTGTAACTCTACCTTTCAAATAAAATAAATTTAAAAAAAAATTTTTTTTTTTTGACAGGCAGAGTGGACAGTGAGAAAGAGAGGGAGAAAGGTCTTCCTTTTCCATTGGTTCACCCTCCAATGGCTGCTGTGGCCAGTGCACCGTGCTGATCCGAAGGCAGGAGCCAGGTGCTTATCCTGGTCTCCCATGCGGGTGCAGGGCCCAAGCACTTGGGCCATCCTCCACTGCACTCCCGGGCCGCAGCAGAGAGCTGGCCTGGAAGAGGGGTAACCGGGACAGAATCCGGCGCCCCGACCGGGACTAGAACCTGGTGTGCCAGCGCTGCAGGTGGAGGATTAGCCTATTGAGTGGCGGCGCTGGCCCAAATAAAATAAATCTTAAAAAAAATTCAGAGTATATAATTTTTACTGCTTAGGAAGAACTTTTGTGAAAAGACAGGCCTACCGAATAGTTGAAAACTATCATCAAATGCTACAATGTTCCTGGTTATGAGTAGTCCCATTAAGTCTCAGCTCACTAAAATTGTGTTGAATCCCTGGTTGAAAGAATCCTCTTATGGGATTTCTAAAAGAAGCAAGAGGAGGTCTTAATTAAGTTCAAGTAAACTAGTATTTATCTTAGCAATGCTCAATCACTATATGAATACTGAGTAACTAAAATTCAATACTAAGCAGACTGAACTAAGTGCTATATAACAGTTCAAAGAAAATTTACAATGTATATATGGGTAAAGGGCATAGAACCTGAAATGTGTAGAACATGTTGTTTCTGGTCCCTTCACTGAAGCCGTTGTGAAAAGCCATTTTTGGAATTGTTTTCCCATTTGTGCTTCAAAGCCCATCGTGGAAATGTTTCTTGCTAACATAAATATTAACACAGAGAAAAAAAGTGAAATCAAATAATTGCTATTAGTATTTTCACACACAGCCCTCCAACTATCTCTGTGTATATAACATGCTTGTATATAAGCAGAATCATACTGTAGTGTGGTTTGACACAACAATTAAGTTACCACCTGGAATGCCTGCATCCCATATCAGAGAGCCTGGTGTGCATCCTGGCTGGAACCAGCTTCCTCCTAATGGACATCCTGGGAGGCCACAGATAGATGGCTCAAGTACTTGGGTTCATTGAAAATCTGAATGGAGTTCCAGGCTCATGGCTTTGACCTGTTCCAGCCCTGGCTGTTGTGGGCATTTGAGGAGTGAACCAGTGGATGAAAGATCTTTGTCTGATTGTCTGTCTCTCTCTTCGCCTTTCAAATTAAATGAAAATAAGGAAATAAAAGTTAGTAAAAAATTGAATCATACCACTCACCTTGATATATGCCTTTCTTATTTTACCTGGTGTGTAATGGACACTTTCATAAATTTTAGTAGTAACTCACATTTTTAAAACTTAAAATGTTTATTCTCTTGACTAAACAATTACATTTTAAAAATTGATTCTAAGGAAATTAATAAAGGTGTGCACAAAGATACCTGGAGTGATACTAGAGATGGCTGTAATGATGCTTCATAACGTAAAACAATGATGGAGAAATATACAGACATTGAAAGATAGTGTAGTATTAGGTGAGGAATCAGTAACTAAAGTAATGCACTTTATGGTTTTAATTTTAGCTTTTGTGTGTTTGTATATATGCACAAGCATAGAAAAGGATACAATGGAAGTATATTTTCTGGGACAGGAAATTTCATGTAGTTTTTTTCTTTTTAATTTTTTGACAGGCAGAGTGGACAGTGAGAGAGAGAGACAGAGAGAAAGGTCTTCCTTTGCCGTTGGTTCACCCTCCAATGGCCCCATGGCCGGTGTGCTGCAGCCGGTGCACCGCGCTCATCCGACGGCAGGAGCCAGGTGCTTCTCCTGGTCTCCCATGGGGTGCAGGGCCCAAGCACTTGGGCCATCCTCCACTGCACTCCCTGGCCACAGCAGAGAGCTGGCCTGGAAGAGGGCAACCGGGACAGAATCCGGCGCCCCGACCGGGACTAGAACCCGGTGTGCCAGCGCCGCTAGGCGGAGGATTAGCCTAGTGAGCCGCGGCGACGGCCTTCATGTAGTTTTTAAATTTTGTTCCATTTTGAGTTTTCTGCTTTTCTATAAGACTTCAGTAAATTTTGTGATTTAAAAAAAGCTTTCTTTGAAGCTAACACTAATAAAGTATAAGGTACTGTTTGTAAACTGGTTTTCTTGATACTCAAGAAATATTTTTATAATCTTCATCTGTGGGCTAACTTCAGGCAACATATCATTGAATCATAGTTCCTTCCTGGATAAGTGTTCTAGTGGCAGATGCTCAACATTGCATGGCTGATAAGTGCCTTTCAAAGACAAATACGTGGATCCTGTCTGCAAATAACTGATCTTTTAAGTTTTGAGTCTTTGATTCTTTGAGATTTGGTTACCAGACAACATCCTCTAGTTTGAGGACACTCTTGCTGATAAACACCTCAATCTTTATTGTAGTAAGAATCATTAAAATTATGGGTTGTTCTAGTGGCCCTCTCTCTGCCCCTGGTTTAGGCTGTGAATTACCTGAGGATAAAGGTTAACAAATCAAATCATTTGGTATCTGTGATTGCCTGAAAAAATGCCTGGTACATGTCAGAGTTCCAAAAATACTTGCTTTATGAGCATTTTTGGTAGCTTAATAGGATGGTAACAAACAAATCTTTTTAAAGGGGATGATATTAAATACTGAATTCCTGTTTAGATTGAGGTCCCAATAAAATCAATGGCAATTTTATAGAAAATGGCAGAAATTAGCATAATGTATATCTGGAATGCAACATTATGGTTTTAACTGAGAGGCAAGACGTTTAGAATAAAGTTATAGGTAGAGGTTAAAAGAGAAAAATTGTTGGGACAGTTTATAAAGTTTATATCTATGTATCTTGTGCCTACTAGATTGAATTGGCATCATGAACTGGAATAAAGGTGGCCCTGGCACTAAGCGAGGATTTGGCTTTGGAGGTTTTGCCATCAGTTCTGGGAAGAAAGAGGAACCCAAACTCCCACAACAGTCTCACAGCGCCTTTGGGGCAACCAGCTCTTCTTCTGGATTTGGAAAGTCGGCTCCACCACAGCTCCCTTCTTTTTATAAAATTGGATCTAGACGAGCCAACTTTGATGAGGAAAATGCGTAAGTGATAATCCTTGGTAATTTAGCAAAGGTTGTTTTGAGTTACTCATTCCATCAGCAAGAATTGAGGCAGCAAAACTTTGTTTTCCACATGATAATGACTTCATAAATTGGTTGTCCTGCTGAATTGCATTTTTCATAGTAAGTTACCAAGTTTACTCAGTTATGAGGAATAGACTACTTGACAGTGTTTACTTTTACCTTTACTAAGTCAATAAATCATGCTTGCTTCCAGTATAAAGTTTTAGTGGGCAGTTCACTCAATAAATGTGTAGTTGCAGGGTTTGAGTCCATTAGCATTATTAAATATGAGTCAAGAGTTTTATATAATTTATGTAGTTCTTTGTGGGCCTTACTGCAATGGTTTATTGACACCATATAAATTGTTTTGTAAACATAACCAGTGTCAGAACTGTTAGAAAACATAGTTTGCCTCAATACCTAAATCCTTAAAAAACTATTATAATGTTTTATAGTGACAGAAAAATCTACTTAGATTTTTCCCCACAGTTCTCAAGAGACATATTTAACAGTTATCATTTTACAGGTTTTTTGGTTTTTTGTTTTTAATTAAATTTGGGAGAGAAAGAGAGATTGAGTCCTTCCCATCAACTAACTCACTTAACAGATGTGTTCAGTGGCTGAGGCTGCACCACAGCCAGGGCCAGGAGCTGGAAACTCAATCCATGTTGTCTGCGTAGGTGGCAGGAACCCAGTTCCTTGAGCCATCACTGCCACCTCCCAGGGTCTTGCAACAACGGGAAGCTGGAGTCAGGAGCTGGAGCTGGGTGTAGAACCTGGATTCTCCAGTATAGGATATAGGCATTTTAACTGCTAGGCTAAACATCTGCTCCTCTCTGAACTTTTTGAAGTACTCTCATGTGAACATGTATGTCTATGGGAAAGAATATGTGCTGTGGGAAAAATAGCATGTGTATGTGTGTACACATGTGCACTAAAACTACATTAAGGTATATTCCTATATATTGCGTAACACTATATGAGAACGTATGCATTAGTATTCATGTGCGCGCATGCGCGCTCTTTCTCTCTCTCTCTCTCTCTATATATATATTCGCATATAGTCATCTTTCATGCAGAGAATTGGTTCCAGAACTCTCTGCAGATAACAAAATTTGTAGACACTCAAGTATTTTCTATTGAATAGTATTTTTTAAATGTATTTATTTATTTATTATTTGACAGGTAAAGTTATAGACAGTGAGAGAGACAGAGAGGAAGGCCTTCCTTTCCGTTGGTTCATCCCCCAAATGGCCGCTATGGCCGGCACTGCGCCGATCCGAAGCCAGGAGCAAAATGCTTTTTCCTGGTCTCCCAAGCAGGTGCAGGGGCCCAAGCACTTGGGCCATCCCCCACTGCCCTCCCAGGCCACAGCAGAGAGCTGGACTGGAAGAGGAGCAACCGGGACAGAACAGGAGGAGGATTAGCCAAGTGAGCCATGGCACCAGCCCCAAAAGGCATAGTATTTTTATACAGTCTTTCCAGATACTTTAAGTCATTTCTGAATTACTTTTAATATCTGATACAATGTAGTTGTTATACTGTGTTGCGCTTGGCTCCTGACTTCAGATTGGCACAGCTCCAGCCATTGCAGCCATCTAGGGAGTGAACCAGCATATGGAAGACCTCTCTCTCTCCCTCTCTCTTCCTCTGCCTTTCTGTAACTCTGCGCTTTCCAGGGCGTTAACCTACCGCACCACAGTGCTGGCCCTTGAATTTTTTTTTTTTTTTTAACTTTTTAGGGGCTGCAGGTTTTTTTTTAAATAAAGATTTATTTATTTATTTGAAAGTCAGTTACACAGAGAGAGGAGAGGCAGAGAGAGAGAGAGAGAGAGAGGTCTTCCATCCACTGGTTCACTCCCCGATTGGCTGCAACGACCAGAGCTGCGCTGATCCGAAGCCAGGAGCTTCCTCCGGGTCTCCCGCATGGGTGCAGGGGCCCAAGGACTTGGGCCATCTTCTACTGCTTTTCTAGGCCACAGCAGAGAGCTGGACTGGATGTGGAGCAGCTGGGACTCAATGGGATGCCGGTGCTTTATGCCAGGGCGTTAACCCACTGTGCCACAGCACCAGCCCCATTACAATATTAGAATTTTAGTTATATTAAACAGTACTTAATTAAGTAGTTGATGTAGCCAAAGCCTTGGGGGGTCTCTATTTTGACTAGGATAAATCTCCTGATAGTAAAATGTAGCTTACCAAACTTTCTGTTAAATGAGAGATCCATTGACTCTATACTAAACATTTTATTTTATAAATCTGCATTTCTATTTTCAGATATTTTGAAGATGAGGAAGAAGACTCTAGCAACGTTGACTTACCTTACATTCCTGCTGAAAACTCGCCTACCCGCCAACAATTCCATTCCAAGCCAGTGGATTCTGACAGTGATGATGATCCCTTGGAGGCATTCATGGCTGAAGTGGAGGCATGTGCCAAATCTTTGATTCCTTAAAATATGTAGCAATTAGAAATAGATCAAGTTAGCTTAGTACTTCAGACCTTGTTCAGAATTTGGGTTTTTTTTAGCCTTAATTTTTGATTGGAGAATTTTGCTCGCTTACTCTTTTAGATTTTTTTTTTTTTTTTTGGGAGGCAGAGTTACAGAGAGAGATCTTCCATTTGCTGGTTCACTCCCCAGATGACCATAACAGCCAGGGCTGGGCCTATCTGAAGCCAGCAGGAGCCAAGAGTTTCTTCTGGGTCTCTCATGTTGGTACAGGAGCCCAAACACTTAGGCCATCTTCCATTGCTTTCCCAGGCCATCAGCAGGGAGCTGAATCAGAAGTAGAGCAACTGGGTCTGGAACCAGGGCCCATATGGGATGCTTGCACTGCAGGAAGAGGCTTATTAACCTACTGCACCACAGCGCTCATCCTTTACTTATTTATTTTAACTTTATTTATTAGTGAGAGGAAATGAGATAGTTCTCATCCACTGTACACTCCCTAAGTGCCTGCAGTAGCCAGGCTGAAGCTTGGAATGAGGAACTCAGTACAGGTCTCCCATGTGGGTGACAGAAACCCAATTACTTGAGCCATCACCGCTGCCTTCTAAGGTCTGCATTGGTGGGAAGCTGGCGTTAGGAGTTGAAACTGGGAATCTAACCCAACTATCCTGACCCATGTAGGATGGGGGCATCTTAATCATTAGGCCAAATGCCTGTTCCCTCATCTACTTTTTTTTTTAAATTTATTTATTTGAAAGGCAGAGTTACAAAGAGAGAGAAGGAGAGATAAAGAGAGATAGAGATCTCCTATCTGCTGGTTTACTCCCCAAATGGCCACAACGACTGGGGCTGGACCAGGCTGAAGCCAGGAGCCAGGAGCTTCTTCTAAATCTCCCCTATGGGTGCAGGGGCCCAAGACTTGGACCATCCTCCACTGCTTTCCCAGGTGTGTTAGCAGGGAACTGAATCAAAAGTGGAGCAGCTGGGACTTGAACTGACGCCCATATGGAATGCCAGCACTACAGGCATGGCTTAACCTTCTGTGCCACAGTTCCAGCCTCCACTTTTTTTTTTTTTTTTTTTTTAAGATTTATTTATTTATTTATTTGAAAAGTCAGAGTTAGTAGATTAGCGGGTGGGAGAGAAAAAATCTACCTGCAGGTTCACTGGCAGCGTCTGGCACTGGGCCACTGTGAAGCCAGAAGCTTCATCCAGGTCTCCCATTGGGTGGCAGGGGCCCAAACATTTGATCCATCTTTTGCTGCTCTACCCAGGCCATTAGCAGAGAGATGAATTGGAAGTGGAACAGCCAGGACACGAATGAGTTCCTGTACGGAATGCCGGCATCACACATGGCAGCTTTCCCCAGTATACAACAATACCAGCCACCCTCATCCACTTTTAATTTAAAACTTCTGTGTGTGTAACTCATGTCTTCAGTCTCGTACTTTAGCTTTGGTTTTAGCCCTGCTTTTCAACAAGCATGTTTATCATTTTTACATGAATGTGTCCCACTGGCACATTCATCTTTTCCTTCTCAACCAGCTCATTCTGTTGTCTATTTTTATTTTAAGATGTATTTGGGGCTGGTGTTGTGGCATAGCGAGTGAGACTGCCACCTGTGATGCCAGCAATATGTGTGGCGGTTCAAGACCTGGCTTCTCCACTTCCATTCCAGCTCCCCGCTAACGTGCCTGGGAAAGGAATGGAAGTTGGCCCAATTGCTTGGGCCCCTGCACACACGTAGCTTTCGCCTGGCCCAGTCCTGGCTGTTTTGACCATTTGGGGAGTGAACAAGCAGATGGAAGATCTCTCTACATATATATCTCTTCCTCTCTCTGTGTAACTCTTGACTTTCAAATAGATAAAAATTTTGTAAAGATTATTTATTTATTCGAAAGTCAAAGTTATCCAGAGAGAGGAGAGGCAGAGAGAGAGGTCTTCCATCCGCTGATTCACTCCCCAGTTGGCCCCAGTGGCCAGAGCTGTGCTGATCTGAAGCCAGGAGCTTCTTCCAGGTCTCCCATGTTGGTGCAGGCACCCAAGGCCCTGGGCGATAGCGGAAAGCTGGATTGGAAGTGGAGCAGCAGGGACTTGAACTGGCGTCCATATGGGATGCCGGCACTGCAGGCGGTGGCTTTACCTGCTATGCCACAACACTGGCCCCAATAAATCTTTAAAAAAATTTTTTTGAAAGAATACAGAGAGAAGGAAAAGGCTATTCCATCTGCTGGTTCACTCCCCAGATGGTCACATTGGCCAGACTGCCCAGATCTAAGCCAGGAACAGGAACTTCATCCTTGTCTGTCACATGGGTGGCAGGGGTTTAGACACTTGGGCCATCTTCCACTTCTTTCTCAGGCCGTTAACAGGGAGCCAGATCGGAAGTTGGACATAAACTGGCATGCATATGGGATGCCAGCATTGCAGGCAGTGGCTTTACCTGCTGTGCCATGACACCAGCCCCCCAACATTGTCTCATCTCTTAATGGCAGCAGTATTCCACAGTCCCTTTGACATGAAATCTTGGCTTTAACTTTTTTTTTTTTTTAACATTTTTATTTATTTATTTATTTATTTGAGAGGTAGAGTTACAGACAGTGAGAGGAAGAGACAGAGAGAAAGGTCTTCCGTTGGTTCACTCCCCAGATGGCCGCAACGGCAGGAGCTGCACTGATCCGAAGCCAGGAGCCGGGAGCTTCTTCCTGGTCTCCCACGCGGGTGCAGGGGCCCAAGCACTTGCGCCATCTTCTACCTACTGCTTTCCCAGGCCATAGCAGAGAGCTGGATTGAAAGAAGAGCAGCCGGCACTCGAACCAGCGCCCATATGGGATGCTGGCACTGCAGGCGGAGGATTAACCTACTGTGCCACGGTGCCAGGCCTGGCTTTAACTTCTTTTTAACACTTGCCCCCTCTTTTGCTTTTTAAGCAGATTATCAAGATTGTTCCTGATATATTTCATTTAATCGTCAGAATAACTGTGGGACATAAGCACAAAAAATGTATGTGAGAAGTCATTTAAAAAGTTATGAAAAGTTATGTGTTTTATGAAAAGCCTATACATGAATTTCAAAACTGTTCTGCACCAAAGTAAATTCATCTTTTTTTTTTTTTTAAGATTTATTTATTTATTTGAAAGAGTTACAGAGAAAGAGAGATTGAGATCCTCCCTCCGATGATTCACTCCCCAATTGGTTGCAGTGTCTGAAGCTGCGCTGATCCAAAGCCGAAGCCAGGAGCCTCCTTGGGGTCTCCCACATGGGTGCAGAGGCCCAAGGACCTGGGCTATCTTGTACTGCTTTCCCAGGCCATAGCAGAGAGTTGGATCGGAAGTGGATCAGCCAGGTCTTGTACCGGGGCCTATATGGGATGCTGGCGCTCCAGGCCAGGGCATTAACCTGCTGTGCCAGAGTGCTGGCCCCAGTAAATTCATCTTTTAATTCCATTTTCTCACTAACTTTTTGAAGTACCCTCATAGAAATAAAATTTTTAATTGATGAAAAAATTTAGCCCTTTGCCGGCGCCGCGGCTCACTAGGCTAATCCTCCGCCTTGCGGCGCCGGCACACCGGGTTCTAGTCCCGGTTGGGGCGCCGGCTTCTGTCCCGGTTGCCCCTCTTCCAGGCCAGCTCTCTGCTGTGGCCAGGGAGTGCAGTGGAGGATGGCCCAAAGTCCTTGGGCACTGCACCCCATGGGAGACCAGGATAAGTACCTGGCTCCTGCCATCGGATCAGCATGGTGCACTGGCCGCAGCGCGCTGGCCGCGGCGGCCATTGGAGGGTGAACCAACGGCAAAAGGAAGACCTTTCTCTCTGTCTCTCTCTCTCTCACTGTCCACTCTGCCTGTCAAAAAAACAAAAAATTTAGCCCTGAAATAATTGAGATCACTTGCCCTGCGTCATATTGGTGTTATTTGGTCCAACTGGGACTTGCTTTTTTTGTTTGTGTTTTTTTTTTTATATATACATATAGATTTTTATTTATTTATTTGACAGGTAGAGTTACAGACAGTGAGAGAGAGAGAGAGAGAAAGGTCTTCCTTTCCGTTGGTTCACTCCCCAAATGGCCGCTAAGGTCGGAGCTATGCTGATCTGAAGCCAGGAGCCAGGTGCCTCCTCCTGGTCTCCCACATGGGTGCAGGGGCCCAGGCACCTCGGCCATCCTCCACTGCACTCCCGGGCCACAGCAGAGATCTGGACTGGAAGATGAGCAACTGGGATTAGAACCCCACACCCATATGGGATGCCGGCGCCACAGGCCGAGGATTAACCTAGTGTGCCACAGCGTGGCCCCATGGGACTTTGTTTTAATTTTTCTTGCTTAGTAGTCCTAAGCTTTTCCCAGTGCATCATGATGCATTTTGTTGTGTCATTTGCTGAGTTCTGTTAATCTTTTCTGTTGCCACTAAAGTCATCCTACTTGATATCTTCATACTTTGTGTCTGATCCAAATTCTTTCTGCTTTCTTACTTGTGTGATACACAGCTACAGGTTAATTATACCAAAGCTTGTTTCTTTTATTGCTCCCTTTGCTTAAAAATTGTCACTTCACTGTTTGTGAAATAAAGTCCTTCCAGATTCTTTAGTTACTTATTTTCAGCCAGAATATTCGTGTCCTCTCTCAGGAAAGAAAGAAGCAGTCTAAGATGGATGTAGGGTCTTTTTCTCTAAGAGTGACTTATTTATTTGAAAGTCAGAGTTAACAGAGAGAGATGGAGGGAGTGAAGGAAGGAGGGAGACAGATAGCACTTCTCCTGGTTCACTCCCTAGTTGGCTCCAGTGGTGAGCCCTAGGCCATGCAGAAGCCAGGAGCTGTATCCATGTCTCCCACTTGGGTGGCAAGGGTCCAGACACTTGGCCCATCTTCTGCTTTCCCAGGCCATTAGAATAGAGCTGGATTGGAAGTGGAGCAGCCAGGACATGTTCTGGCACCCTTATGGGATGCTGGCATTGCAGGCAGTGGCTTTACTTGGTACATTA